CGGGAGAAAGGAGACAGGAGTGTCCGCAGCCCATAAAAACTCCACCAAAGGCTTAACATCCTATAAGGCTTTGGGACCACTGGCCCATAGTTTGCACCCAACTCCAAAATCTCCATTATTCTCTGGACCCAGAGCTGCGAATGGACCCAGAGCTGCGAATAGACAAAGGTTACGTTTGCTTCTTCAACATTCTCTCCTCTGACCCCCACCCGATGCTGCTGGCTTCCTTTGCCCCAGCATTTCCCCAGCTGCTCTCCAGAGAGCCTGGCAGAGGCATAATCTGCCTCATTCTTCTCCTGAGGCTCCTTCACTCCAAAGGTTTAATTCCTTCTTTCAGACCCTAAAGGCTCCAGGAGGGGTGGGGATTGTCCGGCCCGCGGGCCACACAAGGCCCGAGAAATCATTTGGTCTGGCCCTGCCAAGGCATTAGAGGTGAGTTAATTAAATGTTTGCAGGCTAGGGTTTAAGTTGATAATTCTGTATGGCCCACGAATGGTATTATAAATAGCCAAATGGCCCTTGGCAGAAAAGAAAGGTTTCCCACCCCCTGCTCTAGGAGAACCCAGAATGGCTGAAGGCAGACATTCTATTTTCGGGGATTCGGGCAGAAGAGCGGCCGCCAGGGGAAAAAGGTGGGGAAAAGGATGGAGTCAACTTAGAATGAAGACGTGGTCTCTCCTCCACGCAAGTGTTACCCACCCATCATCGCGAGCAGGTACTGGATCTTCTCCAGGTCGGTCTCGCCAGCTTTCTGCACATCCAGGGTCTTCAGGTTCTCCTTGAGCTCCGTGTAGAGGCCGATGAGCTCTCCCATCAGGCGGAACGTCTCCACCGCAATGGGGAAGCTAGGAGCCACTTTCTCCAGGGAATCGTGTTTCTTAGGCTCAATAGTGCTCGGTTCTTGTGAGACTTGCCTGGATTCGCTAAGGGAGTCCACACTCTGAGCCCAGGGGACATTTGGAGTTGGGGGAGGCTGAGTATACCCGCTACGTTGTTGTGGATCCAAATGTGCTTGGACATGTGGATCGACACCCGAGTACCTTGGGCTGTAAGGGCCAGGATACATGAGGCCATGTGGGTCTAGGACAGAGGATGCACGGTCACGCTGATCTAGGTCAGGCTGCTCTGGGCGTGCACCACCCTGGTCTATGCCTCGCTGATAAGTGTCTGTTGGTACCAAACCCTCTTGGTCCATACGAGGCGACATCCAACCTTGCCTGGATAGGCGTGGTGACCCCTGACCATGTTGATCTCTGCCAGGAGGTGCCAGGCCATGCTGATATCGGCGTGGAGAGCCATGAGGCTCTGCGCCTGATGGTACCAAGCCTTGGTGATCAGCACCAGGCTGCCTCAAACCATGCTGATCTAGTCCAGGTTCCACTAAACCCTGCTGATCGATATCAGGCTGCATGAAACCAGGTGGATATGCACCCGGCTGTACAAAACCAGGTGGATATGCACCCGGCTGTACCAAATCACGCTGATCAACTCCAGGTTGGACCAAACCAGGCTGACCTGCACCAGGTTGGACTGAACCACGCTGATCCATTCCAGGTTGGACCAAACCAGGCTGACCTGCACCAGGTTGGACTAAACCAGGTTGACCTGCACCAGGTGGGACCAAACCAGGATGACCTGCCACACCAGGCTGCATGAAACCATGTGGATATGTACCAGGCTGGACCAAACCATGTGGATAGACGCCAGGTTGAGCCAAACTATGTGGATATGCACCCGGCTGTACAAAACCAGGTGGATATTTACCAGCCTGTACCAAACCACGTTGATCAACTCCAGGTGGGACCAAACCAGGCTGACCTGCACCAGGTGGGACTAAACCAGGCTGACCTGCACCAGGTGGGACTAAACCAGGCTGGTCCATTCCAGGTGAGACCAAGCCAGGCTGAGCTGCACCAGGTTGGAGCACATTGTACTGCGGTGTGCCAGGTTGTATGAAGCCAGGCGTTTCCAAACCGGGCTGTACAAAACCTTGCTGATCTCTAAAAGGTGGAACCAATCCTTGTTGATCCATGCCAAATATTGGAAATCCATGCTCATCTGTGCCAATGGGTCCCACACCACTCCCGTCCATGGCAGGCCGCTCCATGGCACGTTGGTCCGGGCCAGGAAATCTCACACCGTACTGTTGTGCGCCAGGTGGAACCATACCAGGCTGTGCGGGACTAGGGAGTCCCAATCCTTGCTGATCTCTGGCAGGTACCCACAGTGGCATCACATCCTGCTGACCCATGCCAGGTAGTACCAGTCCCTGTTCCTCCATCCCAGGTGGCATCAGACCCCGCCGGAAGGGGAGGCCATCTGGGTAAGCGCTAGGAGGTTGAAACTCAAGCTGATCCAGGCCAGGTGGCCCTGGCGCCAGTTGGTCTGGCCTGGCGTCCATGACTTGACCCGGGCTGGGGGTCATCCCCCCGGGAGCATCCGGGTGGGTGAGATGATGCCGGTCTGTGGGCAAGTCCTGTCGAACTGGGCCAGGGTGTGCGTCCCGTTCATCTCTTCTCAGACCTGCTGTGCTGGGCCGCTCTCCAGGCCTGTGCTGATCAGCTTCAGTTCTGAATTGGGGCGCAGGGAGGTGATGGGGTTTTGCCAGCCCGGCTTCATCATGGCCCCTTGGGTGGTGTGGTTCTCTCTCAGGAAACCCAGGAGCAGAGGGCAGTTTTTGTTCCCCTTCGGAGGGGTGTCTTGATCCGCCGGGTCCCGGCAAGGTCTGATCTGGGCCAAAACCACCAGCGGCATCCAGGGCCTGGTCGGCACCTGGATACACGGTGGAGGTTGCACTTGGACTCACGTCATGCGGTGATGCAGGAGGTTTCCCTTTCTGCTTAAGAATTGCTGGCATGGACTCTAGGCCCTGGTTGAGGAGGAAGGAAGGAAGCAGAGACTACAAGTAAGAGCGCTGTCAGGCTTGGCGGGGAGGGAATCTGGGGTATCTGAGTAGGACAGCTGAAGGCCCTTGGCGGGGAAGACCCCCTGGGCCCCCAAACTAAGCTGGACACAAAGAGAATTTGACACTTTTTTTTAAATCCTCACCCGAGGATCTGTGGATATGTTTATTGATTTGCGAGAGAGAGAGGAAAAGAGAGAGAAACATCGATTGGTTGCCTCCCCTCCTGTGGGCGCCCTGACCAGGATCGAACCCAAATCGGCAACCTAGGCATGTGCCCTGATCGGGACTCGAACCCATGGCATTTCGGGGTACAGGACGACACGCCAACAAACGGAGCCACACCGGCCAGGGCAGAATTGGACGCTCTTGAAGGATAAGGTCCCCAGATTGTTGAGAATCTGTACATTTGCAGACGGCATCATAATATGTAACTTTCCTCATAAAAGACAGGGGAGCTCTGGCCAGTGTGGCTCAGTTGGTTGGAGCACCGTCCAGTGCACCGAAAGGTCTCCGTTTGATTCCTGGTCAGGACACATACCCAGGTTTAAGAGAGAGAAGGGTTCACTGAAAAGTACAAGCGATCCATGCTAACTCTCGCAGAGCCTACAGGTAAAGAGCATGAGGGCCCTAGCCGGTCTGGCTCAGTGGGCAGAGCGTTGGCCTGCAGACTGAAGGGTCCCAGGTTCAATTCTGGTCAAGGGCACAGGCCCGGGTTTCAGGCTTGATCCCCAGGAGGGGGCATGCAGGAGGCAGCCAATCAATGATTCCCTTTCATCATTGATGTTTCTCTCTCTCCCTTCCTCTCTGAAATCAATAAAATAGATATTTTTTAAAAATTAAAATATGACCCTGACCGGTTTGGCTCAGTGGATAGAGCGTCAGCCTGCAGACTCAAGGGTCCCAGGTTCAATTCCGGTCAAGGGCATGTACCTTGATTGTGGGCACATACCCAGTAGGGGGTGTGCAGGAGGCAGCTGATCGATGTCTCTCTCATCGATGTTTCTAACTCTCTATTCCTCTCTGTAAAAAATCAATAAAATATATTTTTTT